CCGGACGCCCGGCGCGCACGCGCACCTGAGCCCGCAGTTCAGTTCGCGCAAGCGCGCCGCGGGTGGAGGCGGGCGCCGCGGTAGGGGGGTACCCAAGTCCCCAAAGGCGTTTTCCCCTGGGGCTCCCTGATGCCAATTACCGGCAGTGTCTAGGGCCCTGACTCCCTGGGTGAATCAGGTGCTAAACAGAGTCTGGGCTCGGGGCTCCCCTGTCTGGGTTTTCTGAGCCAACAGTTTTAGGCGGCGGGGGATTCCTGTGGCCCTGCCCCACCCAACCCAGACCGAGAAGGAGCACGCTCTGGGAAAGGTGGGCTAGGTGACTCACCTCTGCAGAGATATGACCCTGGCCGGTCTAGGAGAGGAAGGCTGCTGGAGGCTGTAAATGGTCCAGGGTCTCCTTCAGAGAAATGTGTTGAGATGACTGCTCCCAGAAAGCCTCCCACCCCACCTACCTGTTTTGCGATTTTGTCTAGAGTAGGTTGCGTTCCAGCATGTACTAAAATTATTTGAGGTCCATCAATCATCCATCCTAAATTTTAAATTTCCTCTTAACAGGCGCAAAAATCCTTCAGTTAGAGCAGTGGTTCTCAACCTGGCGGTCGAACGACCCTTTCACAGGGGTTGCCTAGGACCATCAGAAAACACAGATGTTTACATTCGGATTCATAATTAGCAAGATTACAGTTATGAAGTAGCAAAGAAAATGATTTTATGATGGGGGTTTCACCACAACATGAGGAACTGTATTAAAGGGTTACAGCATTAGGGAGATTGAGAACCACTGAGCTAGAGGTTTCTCGTTTTCATATTGTGTTCTTGACGATGCCCTGCACTCCATAGATACTTAGAAAGTACTTGTTGAATGAAGACATGCCATGCTTCAAGCTGATGTGACAGGTCCGATTCTGCTGGCCCTGTATCATTTACCCCTCTGTCCACATGGGATCAGCCTCAGAGGCTGCACTGCTCTTTCTTCGGCTTCCTAGCTTGATCTTGCCCAGGGTCCTGTGCTGCTGACATCTCAATCCCCAAGTCTTTGCATAGCTTCTTTTGAGGTCTTGGAACAAAGGTCTTCTTAGAGACTCTTCTTTCCACTAAACCACCAAATTTATATGGGATACTTCAGGTAGATATAAAATGACTGCATCTTATTTTTTTCGTAGCACTATGATCAGAAATTACTAATTGCTTAATATTGACCTATCTCATAAGATAACAACCTCCTGAAAAGGGCCTTTCTATCTTATTCACTACTTTGCCATATGGCCCGGGATAGCAAGTAGCACAAAATAAACATTTGTTAAATCAATTAATGGACTCTTGGCTGAGAAACCAGTGGGGAGGTTCTAAAAACAAACAAACAAAAACCAGGAAAAAGGAAATGCTGTTGAGTTGACCCAGCTGGTAAAGGTTCTTGCTACCAAGCCAGATGATTTGAGTTCAGTCGTTGGAAACCACATGGTGGAAAGAGAGAACCAAGTTCTGTAAGTTGTCCCTGACCACACCTGTGAGTGTACACACACACACACACACACACACACACACACACACACACACACACACACTAGGCAAACATATGCAAAAATATTTTAAGAGTTTCTAGAGAGTGCTAAAAACTCGTGGGAAGAGCTCGTTGGCTCAGTCTTGTGGCATTTTTCTTCTTGTACACTCTCATCACGGGCAATAAGAGGCATTGCCTCCCTTAATGTGCACTCGCTCTGTGGCTGCCTACAGGGTGAGACTGTGACCTGCTTCTGCTCCTTGTTATGGGACTGTCCCTGTCCTGTCCCCCTCATGCCTTCTTCCTCCTGGTCCCGGGGGCAGCCTGCCCTCTTTCCCTCTGCACCATGCCACCATTATGCCGTCAGGGTCAGCATAGGCAATGGACTCCACTAGGGGAATCACATGACCACCCTCTATCCCCAACCCTTAGGAATACCTTGGGCAAGACGATGCACTTTCTCAGCATTTTCCTCCTTAGAATGGGTCCACTAGAATATGAGTTTGTGAAGACAACCAGACAATTGCTTACTCTCCTTCACTCTCTGCCGGTCATTGTTTCCAGTAGAAACTAATTCTCAAAGCACAATTAGTTCGTAAGTTGGTACACACGCATAAGTGACAAACACAAAACGTGTATTTTTTTCTTCTGCCATCCACTTGGAATACTTCTTAGTGTGCCTATGCTTCTATTGTTGTTATTAATATTACTATGATTATAGCTTTGAGCATGAGCTCACCTGTCTCTTGACAGAGTTAGCACTTGCCTGCATTTGCCTTGGGTCTTTCTAGAATACTCACATGCCCAGAACTCATCTCAAATCCTTGAAGTTCATTTTTGAGAAGAGGCGGAAAAGATGATTAACATCAGAA